GAATTCGATGCCTCTTTGTTTTCGTTCAGGCTCTATTTATAAGTTTTTCCTCAGAGATTTAAATGGAGCCGTTTCTTGGCTTTTATTCCCAAACGTGGGTAATTACATCTACAGATCATGCATTCATCATTATGGCAGACGTTATGGAATTCAGGTCTTGTTAAGATTGGGCCGCCCATTTAGCCTTTATATAAAGTAGAACTTTCTTCACTATAATTGGGCTTAAATGGTACACGCGTAAGGCTTTTTCTATTAGGCCGCTAACTGATTGTGGGCTTCTAATTATCTTAATTTGGTTGTGGGCTGCTTTTTGCCGCCACGTGGTGTTTTGTAACTGGAGGGGTTTTTTTACTCCACATAGCTGCTAAGGAATAAAATTCGCCTTCGGACCTCAAAATTCCTCTAAGGCATAAACATTTGTCGAGGAACAATAATCTTCAGACCTCAAGAGTCCAAAGGTATCAAAAAATTCCTCTTAGGCATAAAGAGCTATCGAGGAATAAAATTCGCCTTCGGAACTCAAGAGTCCGAGGACCTCAAAATTCCTCTAAGGCACAAAGAACTGCCGAGGAATAAAATTCACCTTCGGAACTCAAGAGTCCGAGGATTTCAAAATTCTTCTAAGGCACAAAGAGCTGTCGAGGAATAAAATTCGCCTTCGGATCTCAAGAATCCGAGGACCTCAAAATTCCTCTAAGGCACAAAAGAGTGCTGAGAAACAAAATTACATAAAAATTATCTCGAACTCAAAGAAATCGACGGTTAAAATTTCCATATAAAATCCTCTAAAGCACAGAACAGTGCCGAGGATAAAAATAAATTACCTCAGACCCAAAGAATTTGAAGGTAAAATTTTCATGTAAAATCCTCTAAGGCATAAGAGAATGTCGAAGAACAAAAGTTACACAAAAATTACCTCGGACTCACTAGAGCCGAAGTATAAAATTTATAAAAATTACCTAAGACACAGAAAAGTGCCGAAGCAAAATACGTTGCCTCAGAAGAAAATTCGAAGGCCAAGATTTTACAAAAATAATGATTGAAGTATCAAAAGGCATGAAAAGTCGATCATCAGTATGAAGAGTCTACACGCATGAAAAGTCGATTCTTAATAAATAATAGCAAACAGTGCAGAAGGTTGATCATCTGAAGTTGATCACCATGGCTAATCATGAAAGTTGAAGCTAATTGCTCAAGAAAAACACTAGGTTGATCTCCAGGCTAATCACTAAAGATGATTACCAAGGTTGGTCACCATCATTATTCATTAAGGCGAGTCACCTAAACTAATCGCCATAGCTTGAACAGAAGGAGGCTCAACATAAGACGCCACCTTTGAACATGGGGGCACCTCAACTACAACCTCCTCAGAGGCCTTTATTTTAGGTCTTTGCACTTTCTAAGAAGACAAATATAGGTCATCGTCGTCAAGGCATACTGTCCCAATTTTTAACTAACATAACTTTTGGTTCACTACAGTTACCATTACAATTCATTAGCTACGATTAATTCGCTCTAGTTATGATTGCCACATCAAACTAAAGGGATTTGGGGGCAAAGTGTGGGGGCAAAAATCTCCCCTTCCAATTAAGACAAGACACATCAGCACATAAGGGGACCACTACAAACACTTAGACTATTCAACCTTCAAATTGGGCCTCTATAAGAAGCTTGGGGCGGGTTAACTAAGCATAATGGGCTAAACTAATTTAGATGGCTCGAGATGATGAGACCCCAAGCCCAATTACGAATATATTACTAAACCCATTTTTAGTAACAGTTCTATTAGAAGAAGGATTATAATCTATGGAAACCAAATAATCCTTATTATAAGGATAGTATAATGTGATTCAGATTCTGAAGGGACAAGTAATACGAGTCCTAAAAGGACTCAATTAGGGTTTTTCCTACATAAAAAAGGCTCAGGACCCTCAATAAGGAACACAAAAAAAGGGCAAAGCCCCCAAAAAAAGAGATCCAATTCTTATCGCCAGAACTACGTTCCAACCTAATTCCCACGCTCTATAAGGCGAGATACATAGGCAATCTAGGTAATCTTAGGTTCGGTCATATCATCAAAATATTCCTTTATCTCTATACAATTTCTGTAGGCAATCTAGGTAATCCTAGGTTCAATCATATCATCAAAATACCCCCTATCTCTATACAATTTCTCTACTTTGTTGTTTTTTCTCCATTATTATTTTGGGTGTAGTAATTGTAGAGATTTCGTTGACTTGTCAAAGTCGAGCGAATTTTTGCACTTACACTTTGGAGTCGTATGTGGGAAACGTATAGAAATATACCATACACTTCGAATCATCCACGTCATTAAAATAAGGTATTACCTCATTGGTTATTAAAGCCCAATCTTGATTAAGCCCAAATAAAGTTAACTTCGATCTAAGGTTATTAATGTTAACCTCTTGGCCTGCTAAAAAACCCATCAGGCCCGTTTGCATTATAATCCAAGTCCAGTTCAGATTAATCAAGTCCTGCTTAACAAAGGATCCTTCGTATAAGGAAGTTCTACGTGGGAAAAGTCCTACATAGTAAAGAATCCCATATGGAAAGAAGCTATGCATGGGAAAAGTCTTGCATAGAAAGAATTATAGAAGAAAAGAACCTTGTAAGTAAAGAATTATATATGGAATAAATTAGAGGACAAGAATAGCAAATCTTACCATAATTCCACCATCTTTTTATATATAAATAGAGGCTTAGACCTCCAATGAAAATCATCGAGCATTACAATCTTTTCTCTGAATTGTTCTTGTTAATTGTTCTTTTATTTGAGTGAGTTGTATTTATTCTTTTTGCTTTTTAGTTAAACGAATTTTTTGCACCTACACTTTGGTGCCATCTGTGGGAAACGTATAGAAATATATCCCCACGAGTGATTTGAAATCTTTTATGCTACTATGATCCGGGATGTCAATCGGAGGAGCCACAGCTGCAGCCGATCAACAGATGGAACTAATGCAAAAGATACGAGAAGAGTTCTTACAGCAGTTCAAGACCCTCCGTCAAGCAAATGAGGCCAGTATGGTTCAGATTGTGTTAATTCAACAAAGGAACGATGCTCTCCAGACAGCCATGGCGCAGTTAGCACCACAGCCACCACCAGGCAATGTAGTAGGAGCTCCCCCCAACTGCAATATTTCTATTGTTGATGAAGCTCAAGCCAACGAGAGTCGGCAGGAGTAGAGGACGAGAACCGAGGCAGTTGCTTCGGACAACCACCCTCATCGCACACAAGACGAACAGGCCGAATCCAGCCGCAAACTCACAGTATGGACAAATGGCGTGCAAGATGGTGTTTAGGAAATTTTTGATGAAAAAAAGCTCATAAGGATTCAGACACCTGCCGAGATGGTCAGGGAGCATAAGGCCTCTCTGGTGAAGACTCCATTCACTGATCAAATATACTACGTTGATAGACCTAAAAAATTCACCATGCCAGCATTTGCTCAATTCGATGGCACGGGAGATCTTTCCCGTCACCTCGATCACTATTCTCAGAAGATGGCCCTAGATAACCACAATGACGCATTCATGTGCAAAGTTTTCCCAACTAGTCTGACAGGAGCTGCGCTGGAATGGTTCAAAAATAGGCCACACAAGTCCATCCCGAACTACGAAACTCTGTGCACCATGTTCCTAGCACAATACTGTGGTAATAAGAAGCAGAAAAAAACCTATCGCTAGTCTCTTCACTATAAGACAGAAGAGAAGAGAAACGTTACATGATTTCCTGTCCAGATATAACATGGAGGCTTTAGAGATAGCAGATTGTCACTCTGAGATTGCTATAGAAGCATTCAAGATCGGCATGATCCAAGGGACTAAGTTCTATACCTCTTTAGTTAAATACTCCCTTCCGGATATGCAGACTCTCAATGTTAGGGCACAAATTTACATTCAACTTGAGGAGAATATAGCCCACCGAGCATAATATGCCACTCTCGTCACGGTAAAAAATAAGTCTCGGGAAAAAGCTTCGAGTTCAAAAAGTCAAAGAAATTAATATGCCTCAGCACCAGTCGACCAAATACCTGAGAAAAAGGCAAAAGATCGAGGAGAGGATAACACCTCTTCGTACCACATTGGCTCGATTATTCCAGGAGAACAAAGTAAGATTCACAGTCCCTCAACCAATGCGATAACCCCTGGAGCAGAGGGACAAAAACAAACACTGCGCCTACCACAGGGATTATGGGCATACAACCAATGATTGCAGATCCCTTCGGCGGCAGGTGGAAAACATGATAGCCAGAGGTGACCTAGCAAATTATCTTGGGCCGAAGGAGCATCGAAGGCCGAGGGAAGGTAATCCTCAGAAAATGGAAGGTAATCAACTGAAAGTCATTCATGCAATCCATGAAAAGTCGGAGGAAGACCAAGAGTCAGAAGAGGTGTACCGCTCCAGATTGTAAAAAAATTTGAAAGAAAAAAGAAAATTAAAAACAAAGAAGAAGAAAAAAAATGTATATAAATGAGTGAATTATGAAAGAGAAAAATTAAGGTTTGATTACAGAAAAGGAATGCATATTTATTAGAGGAGAATAAAAAAAAAAAAAAAAATTTGAAGAAAAAGTAGAGGAAAGAACTAGATAGTTTGTTAGAATGGGATAATTTTAGGAGGCATAATGTAAAATTATACTGTACATATATTTATATAAATAAATAAATAAATTAGTGGCCATTTGTGTTTGTAGGGTTTGCCAAGTTTCGAATTTTATTCCCAACCAGGAAAAGGAAAAAAAGAAAATAAAAATGTATATAAATGAGTGAATTATGAAAGAGAAAAATTAGGGTTTGATTAAAGAAAAGGATTGCGTATTTATTAGAGGAGAATAAATAAAAAAAAAAATTTGAAGAAAAAGTAGAGGAAAAAACTAGATAGTTTGTTAGAATGGGATAATTTTAGGAGGCATAATGTAAAATTATACTGTACATATATTTATATAAATAAATAAATAAATTAGTGGCCATTTGTGTTTGTAGGGTTTGCCAAGTTTCGAATTTTATTCCCAACTAGGAAAAGGGAAAAAAGAAAAAAACAAGAAAATAGAAGAAAATATTGCCAAACAGCCACCAAGTCCGACACAGATTAGGAAACAGCCACTAAGTCCGACACAGATTAGTAAACTTCAGATGAGATCTATATTGAGCACTGAATCTGGCTGAGAGGTTAAAGATGTCCTTGTCCCAATCCGAATTTCCCAGGGAATTGTTGTATGAATATCACAATCGAGAGAGCAGAGAGAAACGAATCACTTTCTAAATTCTCTTTTTCGAAGAACATTCTCAGTCGAGCCTCTCAGGTACCTCTCTATTCCTTCTTCGTTTTGTAAGAAAGTGAAAAGCTTAACTTGCCTTCACTATGTATTTGTTAAGGACCTAATTGAATATATATATATATATATATAGCTTACTAGGCGTTATCTATTCACTAGGGTTGAGAATAATCCCCAAGGTATCTGTTAAGTTCCGGCGTAGTCGAACTTAGTTGTTGGGTTTGTGAGCAATTTTGTTTTCAATGTCTATTTTGATTTCTTGGGAGCCAAAGCATCAAGGCTATTACTTGTTGTAGTGGTAAACGTTACTGCCAAAGGGTAGTTATTTTTGCAAATAATGCTAAATTTTAGACTCTAGATTTATATTTAGTTCGTCCATTCTAGCACTATTGATTGGACCAACAATGGATTTCAAAGCAAAAAAAGTTATAAAAAATTGATTTTTGCTATTTTTTTTAATAATTAAATGGATTTCAATGTTTTAGTCTTTGGTTGGTGTTGTTTATACTGATGGGAATGTTATTGATTTCTCCAGCTGCTAAATTGACTTGTAGGTCAGTCCTAGACTTGATAAGGATTGGCATCTAAATAAATCAAGAAGTCTCTTGGATGGTGCAAAGAATTAACTAACTATATAGGACGATTACCTAGTGCATGATTTAGTTGTGAAATTGTGTTCCCTTGAAGGTGGTGTGTTCATCAGCTTAATTAAGGTTGGTGAGATTTTAATTCTCTCTTTTTGAATGCGAAAAGTTCTCATTGTTCTATGCTGTTTAGCTTCTGTTCTATATGATATATTGTTATGTTGATTTGTATATCTAATTGGGATTATTCTTCTTTTTATATGTTGGATAGAAATCAGGACCATGCCTCGTAAAGTTAAATATGGAGTTGATTATGATGAAGACTATGATGCCTACGAAGATTACAATTATGATGATTTTGGTTCTATCGCAGAAGAAAACCGTGAGTAATTTTCTTAATTCAGGCTTTTACTCTTTGTAGTGCCAAGTGGATACCTTTAGGAGGCTTTTCTTGGTCGTATTTTCTATACCTGAGATAGCTTCATGGCTACAGAGTCGTTTTTATGGGTATTGAGGACTGTCATAATATACAAGTTGTTTATATGCACCTTTAAGGAAAATGCATTTATGTAGAGATATCTCTATTAATGTATATACCTGCATAGACCAGTATGTGTTTTGAATGAGGCTGTGGCCCTAAAATAGAGAGGAATGATGAACATGATTCGTATTCATGTAGAAGACCCAAATAGTTAGGAAAAAGCTTTGCTGAATTGAGTTGAATTTTAGATATCTTTGCAATGTACATTGTTGAATCAACTTGATTCCTTAGGAAATACAAGGTATTAGAGGCTGTTTCTGTATAATTATTAATATATGATGCAGTATAACTAAAAAATGTCCTTTATTTTTTGCACCTTTGGGCATCCTATTCTTTGTTCTTTTGAATATTAGTTAATAGCTAGTTGCATGAAGAAATTTTGGGAAGCAATACAGTAAGGTGATAAGTCGGAAACACACACACACACACACACACACACATATAGTTGTTTCTTATCCGATATATTATATACACCTATATATATATATATATATATATATATATGTAGTTGTCCCACTGAAAAGTTCCTAGGCTTGTGAAGTTCCTATTTTACATTCTATTTCATTAACTGTGTGATGAATACTTTGTTGCAGCAGCTGAAGAACCCGAGACAAACCATAACAGTGTTAGGCCTGTGGTTTGGAGTTGCTCAATTTGTACATTTGATAATGGAGAGAGTATGTCTGCATGTGATATATGCGGAACTCTTCGTAATCCTTCGGTTAACATTTATAGCAACGGCAATAAGAATACAGGTATTCAAGAGTTTCTCTGTTAATTTTGGATTATTTTCTCAAGTTTGTAGAATTGAGTTGTATGGATTGTTCTTTACTTCTTTGTTCCTATTCTATTTGGTACTTTTCCTCTTTGCATTTTTCAGTGTTGTAGTCACATTACCACACATTTGACAGAGTAAGTTTTTAAATCTACCACCTGCTAGGATAGTCTGATTGAGATAAGAATTTGAAACTGCTAAGACTTGGCTCTAACCCGATGATTAGATTACGTTGAACCTTAGTATTTTGATAGTGCTTGAAGCTCAATAGATTGCTCATTAGGATAATCTGACTGAAATATGAGATAAGAATTTGAATCTGTAAAGAATCAGCTCCAATCCAATAATTTAGATTGTGTTGAATCGTAGTAATTTGATTGTACTTGGTAAGTTATTAACTGTATGAGCTTCATAGATTATGTTGTGTAATAATAAAATACGTCAATAAAATTAGAATTCACATCAAGTTATTAACAATATAATTCTATACTAAAATATATGTATTATATAATAATCTTCTGTAAGTCATATTATTGTTAGGTCAGACCGCCCTTTATTTAGTGTTGTATTTACTTGTTAATAATATAATTTGGATCCTTAGTAAGATTTGGACTAGTGATTGAATTCAAAGCAAAATCCGAATCATTGATTGACCTACCGCTTAGTCACACATCCTTGTTGCATATGTTTTTCAAGGTGACCATGTAAGACAGCTTGCATCTATTTTGGGCACCAGCACCTAAGTTTGCATCCTTGTTACGTGGGCTTAATCTCATGTTCATTGCCCCTTTATAGAATAGATCTTTTTTCATGCAGCTGATGGCATGTGCAAAGATTCTGGAGCATCCATTATGGCCAAGTCTCTTTTTGCATCATTGCTGTATCGGATACCCAAAAAGGCTGTGGCCGCTGTGACCTATCAACAACAGAAAGATGATTTTTCAACGGAAGAGTGCAATAACTTCCACAAGCTTGGAAATATCCAAGGAAATTTTCATGAATTTCATAAGGCTTTTAGCAGTCAAAACCATTACCATTTCCATATAGGTCTGCACATGTTCTAACACAGGACATCGATCCCTAATGTTTAACATTAATTATCTTACATTGTAGAATATGGTTCTTCTCTTTTTTTTTTTTCAGCTCTTATTTATTTTTGGATTCATTCTGAGAAAAACTGTCTTTTCTTAATCATTTTCATCCTTAAATACTTTGATGATAACAGCCCCTTTCAAGTTTGATGTCCCATCTCCAGATGACTTGGTATCAAATGGAAAGCGTGCCTCCAAAATGGGTTCAAAAGGTATACTCTAGTGGTCTCAAATATGAGTTTTAGCTGAATTTTACTTCAGAGGAAATAATTTGTTGAATATTTACTATATATAGCCGTACCAATGGGCCAGTGACCCAGCACCAGTTGTATAATCTCTCCTCCCTCAAAGGGTGGACATTTGTGTGCATGCGCGATTACTTACCTAACCATTTTTTTTTTTTTTTTTTTACTATATATAGCCCTGAAAAGAGCTAGACTACCACTATCTTTACTGTTCAATTACTTCAGCTTCTCCATTATGTATATATCACGTCTTAATTGTGTCTAGGAATATTTTATTATTTTCTCTCTAGACTAGAGCATTTAATGTCTGGATTATTAGGAGGATAAGTTTGTTCCTCTGTTGTGTCAGATGGTGTGTCTTGATCTCACTGTCAGAAGCCGATCTAGTTTCCCAAGTTAGGGAGTCTTTATTTGCTTTTTATGAGGGATGTGGGATCTCAATTGAATTTGGGACCGAAAGGATTCTCACTCCTCTATGGTAAAAACGAGATATTACCTACTTGACTGTTGGTTGCTTGAGCATGGGAAGGGCTCCAATGCTCTTTCACATGCTGGAAGAGTGGGACTTTATTTAGAAAGAAGGGTGCACTGTGCACATTGATAATTATGGCTCAAGGTGAGGCTCACTGGCAGCGAAGTTGCCATGCAATGTGCATGAGAGGCACCTAGATGACTGGATGTGAAAACCGAGGCGTTACTTGTCGTTACTGAGGGTTTCCAGGATTTTTTTGGAACACTTGAATCCCTTGCGTGAGATAGTTTATACCCTTTACCTGTCTATTATCATAATGCTGATGATTTAAGTCTTGCTAACACTGTTCTGTGTTCTTAAAATTTTCACATTTGGGCAATTTTTATTTATGCAAATTTAGTGCAACTATATTTTGATTTGCATATTTATTGGTGGTGAAAGTAGTGGCTAGATTAATTGGATTTGGTTCCTTCGTTGACATTCCTGAATTAGAATTGGACAATTTTCTCTTATGATGCTACTTTATATTTGCAGCCAACTTCAACAAGTTATCTGCTTCAGATGTTCCATCAAGCGACAGAGAGAAGAACACTGCAGGCAAATTACAGTCACGTGCTAAAAAATCTGATAGCTCTTTGGTATCAGTGTCAGAAAGCAGACATGATAGTGTGGAGGAGACCAATTCTTCAGTTAATGGGCATGTGCCACAAAGTCTTTCCAGTAGCCTGAGCAATATGTCTTTCAATGTTAAATCTGGATCCTCAAAGAATGTTGATGCCAGAAGAGCTATATCATATTCTCAGTATAAACCTGAGAAATGGATGCTACCTGACAAAGCAGAAGATAGGCTGATTCAACTAAATCTTGCTATTGTAAGATATCCATCTGATGTAGTCATGTGACTATTTCCTTAGTTTTTAATTAATTATTTATTTATTTTTATTTTTATTTTGTTAAGCATATTTGTACTATCCTTTAAATATTTAATTATCATTTTAGGTTGGCCACGTTGATTCGGGGAAGTCAACACTCTCGGGAAGGCTGCTGCATCTTTTGGGCCAAATATCCCAAAAGCAAATGCACAAATATGAAAAAGAGGCTAAAATACAAGTAATATAACTAACATTCTTCATCTATTTTGTGGGATTGTGCGCTTTTCATGCTGTAAGAGCTCTGGATTTATGGTGCTGTTTGTTATCCTATCAGGGAAAGGGGTCCTTTGCTTATGCATGGGCATTGGATGAGAGTGCTGAAGAAAGGGAGAGAGGAATAACTATGACAGTAGCTGTTGCTTATTTAAACTCCAAAAGATATCATGTTGTTCTACTTGACTCCCCGGGCCATAAAGATTTCGTTCCAAACATGATATCTGGGGCAACACAGGCAGATGCTGCAATTCTTGTTATAGATGCCTCAGTTGGCTCATTTGAAGCAGGTATGGACATCACCGGAGGGCAAACAAGGGAACATGCACGGCTTATTAGAAGTTTTGGTGTAGATCAAATTATAGTTGCAATTAACAAAATGGATGCTGTGGAATACTCCAAAGAACGTTTTGATTTCATTAAACAGCAACTTGGAACATTTCTCCGCTCATGTGGCTTCAAGGATTCTTCTATCCTATGGGTTCCGTTGAGTGCCATGGAAAACCAAAATTTGGTGGCAGCTGCTTCTGATGTACGATTATTGTCCTGGTGGGTTTGCTTGCAATTGTCATTTTCAAGTTATAATTGTTTAAGCTTCATGGGATCTTCATTTTTTTTGTTTGTGATAATTTTTATTTAAATTGGAACCATAAGCATAAAGTAAACTTTAAATAGTATTTGGATCAAAATACAAAGACTTTAAAAGTTATTGTCACTAGGAGTAAAAAGTCAAGCTAAGAGGAATTTTGAGCTTGCCTTGCTCAGAGTTGGACTATACTGAGGTTTGTTTTAGGCTCAGGTGGAGGTTGCGCCTGTTCAAACATAGTTTGCAATTTTTTTGCTTAACTCGGCCTTGGACCCTTGGTTGCTAAGATATTGACAATAACAGCATAATGATGATGACACATATTTATTGCAAGTCATCAACATATAATGACACCCAAGACGGTGCATATGGTTTTATGAATTTTTGAAGCAATCAATACATATAGCCTAACATGTATCCCATCAATTTTATATTGCTGAAGACATATAACACATGATATAATTAATACATATAGTGCATATAAGTTTTTTTTTTTTTTTTTTAATTTTTAATTTTTTTTATTATATATATATAAATCTTTTTGGTAATATGAGGAACATTAATTTAAACATATTTTTATTGCAAATTACTACACTGTTGAGTCTGTTGTTGCGAAGGAACATGAAGATCAAAAGGATCTTTTGTTGCATGTTTTGCAGCCTTCATAAAATTTCTGTCCTTTACACTAGAAGAGGCCTAACCAGCAAATTTTGTTCTCAATCTTATGCAACAGAATTTGGCAGTTCCGAAAAGATTTTACGCTAGGAGTACATGATTCAGAAATTGAAATATAAATAATAGGTTGATGCATCAAATTTGCTATATTGTATAGCTATTTATCATTAGTGGGTAGTTTTTGGTAAGGTGCTAGAACTTTTGCAAATGAGGTTTTCTCTTTCTTCTCTTCTCATCTCAGTTAAATCTTGGAAGCAGTTAAGCCTTTGTCATATCATAGAGTTTTGTTGGTTGCATATTTATCAATGCCATGTACTGTAATGGCATGTTGTGAAAGTACATCTTGTTGATATCATAATTTATGTTATTCGGGGAAAAAAATATTTTAAGGAAAAGAAAAGGATACCAAGGCAAAGAAGGATGGAAAATTCTTCATTAAGATGAAAATGAAGAGAACATCACCCCACTATATAAAATGAAGAAATATTTTTTTGTATGTGAGATGGAATAAAGGTACTTCTGTTGATTTGTACTTTGCATGAAAATAGCTTCGACAACCATCATTATGGTTGTTATAAAGATAATAATTTGTTTATGGGTATTGGTAGATGGACCGAGAGCTTACTGCAAAAAAAAGGCATACAAATTATGTAAAGTTAGTACCTTAGAGACGGGAAAAGAGCGAAATTCTAAGAAGCAGTTGGTAAAAGTATGCTTGATTATATTTATTTTTATTTTGCATTTCTCTCTCTTTTAGAGAATAGTCTTTCCTCACTCTTATTCTCTTTTTCCTACTATAATAATTTTTCATCCGAAGCAGTGTGAAAATATCTGATTGTTTATATTAACATCTTCAGATTTACGCCGCATCTTGTAAGTCACAGTGGAATACTTTAGAAAGGAGAGAGGTTGAATAATATAGAAACAGAAAGATGTAGCGTAGCACGCCTTTTGGTACCATAAAAATATGTGTTCCTAGAGGGCCACTATTTATTAACAAACTATACTTTATGGTTGGTGAAAAGTTGCAACCTTTTGTTATGGAGTTGAGATTCTACTATTACCAAGGATTTTCAATTACAAAAAATTTCATGTAGTTCCTTCTCCATCTTTTACTTTTTGTGGTATTGAATTATGCTGAAGAATGCTGATGATGATTAAATTGCAGGTACATGGGGCCTTTTCTGTTGGATGCAATAGATTCTCTCCAACTTCCGGCAAGAGATTACTCAAAGCCTCTACTAATGCCCATATGTGATGTTATCAAATCCCAGTCACTTGGGCAGGTGTCTGCATGTGGGAAATTGGAGACTGGGGCACTTCGAAGTGGATACAAGGTATGTAATTGGCTGGCTGTTTTAGTTCTTGTAAAGCAATTAATTTAAGTGGCCAACTGGTCTTTTTCGAAAATATAATTTATTAAATCAGAGAAGGAAGTAGGTTTCTGTTGCCTTGAATTTTAATTCATTTCTCCTGAACATATGCCATATCCATGTAAGGAATCCATAGAATTTTATATATTTTTTAATCTGTCTGTAGGAATGTGACAGATTGGGCCTTTCCTGGTAACCTTCTCTGTCCTCCTTGGACGGAGATAGTACATATCTAATGGTCGGGCTTGGGGGCGGGGGCGGTAATGGAGTTTCCTACCTGTTTTTCCTATGGGGCGGGGATGGTTTTTGCTAGCCTGTATTTACAATAAGGCAAGGTGCAAGGGCTGGGATGATAATAAAATTGCAAAAGCTGCTGGGATGATAATCATTGCAAAAAAAACAGGGAAAAAAAATGAAGATAATCATTGCAAAAGCTTCAAGATTATAAGTGTCTTCAATCCACTGAACTGTCATTTGAACTTACAATAATTTTTTCATATTCAACATACTAAAATAATGCAGGCTTCGTGCACAATGTGTCACAATGAAAATGAGATTCCTTGATCTATAATGCAGCCAGCTGTAGTAAAATGAGATTATATGCATTTTAAGGTGTTTTAAGCGCATCAAACATTGTCCCTCATGTACTGAAACTGGATTAAAGAAAGCAGGGCAATGCTACTTGTAAGGGGCTCCATGTGTGTGCAAGGCCTTGCATGCATTATTAACTATTAGTGTCCTGACAAGCCTCTGCCCTGTCCTTGGTATTTTTGTGGACTTGCCTAATACTGGAGCGAGGATTGGGAACGGATCTCCCTCCCAAGGATTGGGGTTAGTGTGTCCACATCTCAAACGCATTTATACTGCCATCATTATCTGGACTAACATTTAACGGAACTGAATTTTTACATTTCTTAAGAACCATAACCACTTACCACTTTAACACAGTATTTTATGTCATTGGGACAGAGTATGCATTCTGCATCATGTGTGGAGGCATGTCATTTCATAAAATTCACTATCTGGGTTACCTCCTTGATAAATAAAAAATGACTTTAATAGCCCCTCTCCATTCCCCTCCACCACTCTGCATGGTTTCTATAATTGTTCTGTGAGAATAAAATTGACATTTTGAAAAGCGGTTAATGAAATTGGTTCCCCCCCTCGGCGCCCGCACGATGAATGAATGAAATTGGATGTTGCTGCTTGTTAAGTATGGAATGCAAATCAAATCCCATTTTCCGTGTAATGACCTTGATTAATTCTACCTTTTAGTCAGGATTTATGTAATATATAGACTAACAATATGATTTTCTTAACCGGATTTGTTGAATCTACTACTATAACAGTATTTGTCCATGCACGTGGGTGATAGGTTCTAGTTATGCCATCAGGAGACATGGGCACGGTACGCTCCTTGGAACGTGATTCTCAGGCTTGTGCTATTGCGAGAGCCGGAGACAATGTGGCTGTCCGTCTACAAGGTCTTGATGGAAGCCATGCGATGATGGGTGGGGATGTGTTATGCCACCCAGATTTTCCAGTTGCAGTGGCAAACCATTTGGAACTGAAGATTCTTGTCTTAGACGTTACAACCCCAATTGTAATTGGCTCTCAGGTAACGTCCTCCGTAGATTAAGTCAATCTTCATTGTTTTACTTTGATATGGAGATATAAGAACAACTTTTTTTATGGAAATGAGCAGATGGAGTTTCATATACATCATGCAAAGGAAGCTGCTAGAGTTGTAAGGTTATTGTCATTACTCGATCCAAAGACTGGAAAGGTGAAAAAGCAGTCCCCAAGATGTCTAAGTTCAAAGCAGAGTGCAGTAGTTGAGGTTTGTTACAATGAAAATAATTACTATGGTTGTGTCGAACGAATGGCTCAAATTATTAAAACCTGGTCTAATTGGTCTGTTATCATATTTCAGGTGGTTCTGCAAGGAGCGGTTTGCGTGGAGGAGTTTTCTAGCTGCAAGGCTCTCGGGAGGGCATTCCTAAGATCATCAGGAAGAACTGTTGCTGTAGGCATTGTAACCCGAATAATGGAGAGAGAATAATTCAATCCGACACTGCATACCTGAAGAACAGGTGACATTGAAAGTTGTGGTTTCATTGTACATTGTTTATTTAGTGGATAGAAGAAATATGGATGTACATTATCGATGAGTCGTCCTGTTCATGTACACATGCAAAGTTTATTTATTTATTTATTTTATTTCATACATTACTTGCCTCGGTAATTTGCTTGTTTGGTGATGCATTTTGAAAGCTACTTTTGTCTATGTTAATGTTGACCTTGTTAGTAAAAAAGTTATTCCTGCATCATTCTTACTACTGCACACTGCTTTGAACATTTTCATCATATAAACAAGTATGTAATATTTGGAAAAAGAAAATTCACCAAAAGCCTGACTACAGGAAAGAAACCTTCAAACTAAAACTCTGTAGATAGGATATAACAAAACACACGAAAATTTACTCCTTGGAGCTATTCAACAAAAAATAGTGTGCTTCTCTTTCAAAATAATTCTAAATTCACAAAGTTAATAAAATTATATAGAAATAAAAATAAAAATTGCTACAAAATTTGGTTTGGGTGAGTTGAGGTAAAGTCCAGTTGTCCAAGTGTTGCACTCCAAATTTGATTTTGTTTTTTTTAGGTTGGATGATGATAATGTTGGATCTCTTTCAGCATCTAATAATTTACTATCTCACATAAATGAGAAAGACTTCCCTGTTCCGGTAACTATACTATGTCATCGATGTTATGAAACAATTATAACCTGCCACATAAAAAAATATATTTATTTAGTGGGTTCACTATAAAATAAGATTGTAATACCATCTCATCAAAATAACAAAAGCATTAAAATATAATTGTAGTACACACAATTACTATCCATGCAAACAAACAAAATAATTGAAGAATTTTTTTTCTTGCATTTATCCTTTTTTACGTTTTATTTTTATTTTCTTAAAAGAGGACGGATTTTTAAAATTTTGTTACAAAAAGCTTGGGTAAATTACTCTCCAACCCCATGAGATTATTGCACCTTATTTTAGAACGGACATTGATCATATACAACTTTTCTCAATCTATGAGGTACTTTTACATCGAAATATTCATGATTTATTGAAAGAAGGGTAAAGTACAACCACATCCCATGAGGTTTGGCAAAAAGATACACAAAGTAAACTTATTTGTTTTTTGGACAAAGACACCCCTTGAAGGTTCAAAAATGGACAAAGACACTCTTTTACATAAAAAATTGATCAAATTATCCTTTGACTGTTTAGAAGACTTTTTTAACTTTATAATTTAATAAATTGGACCAATCTACCCTCATGAACAATTTATGCATAAAAAAAAGTTTTTAATAAAATGACATCACTATCCCTAACCCCTATTTTTGTTTATAATAAATAATTATATAGAATGTTCTTTAAAAAATAAATCGTGAATATAATTTTAGATGTAAGACAATTACATAATTGTCAAAAATAAAGCCAAAATCCAGTTCTTTGCGTTCCCAACACATTTCAATTCTAAATTTCTCATCTGATCTGCAAATCTAGCATAAAACCCAAATATGTTCAAGCAGCATAAGAAATATCATCAAGTCAGAGAATTTAATCCAGTGAACTTGGTTGTACACAATCAGTTTTAGTGTCCCAGAGCTGGCTTCGCCATGCCTTTTTTTCTTTTTGGCAGATTGGGATCCCCATGGACCACACACATTGTGAGAGTAAAGGTATCAGTTGGTCACTCTTGAATGAGCCAGACTCCTGTGTTCCAAACTATTGAGAGAGAAGAGACTTTTTTTAATTTTTTTTATGCATAAATTGTTCATGAGGGTAGATTGGTCAAATTTATTAAATTGTAAAGTTAAAAAAGTCTCTTAAACTGTCAAATGGTAGTTTGGCCAATTTTTCAAGTAAAGGGTGTCTTTGTTCATTTTTGAACTTTCAAGGGGTGTTTTTGTTCAAAAAGCAGGTTCTTTTGACAAACTTCAAGGAGTGTTACTATACTTTACCCTAGAAAAAAAGGGACAAGAATATCCAATACAAATACAAGTTTAGAAAATACCTCATAAAAGATAGAGGCTTTAGAACCAAATTCTCAAACTTCAATCACAAGTTTAATACTGCCAATAGCATACATATTGAATGAAGGAAACAAGTAAAAGACATAACAACAAAAACTAATTATATATGGACTACAGTAGCGCAAATTGTTCGACACATTGGGCAAGAATTATTTTTTGTCAACCACTCGGTCATGCAATCTTTATGGAATACATGTGAACATGGGGTCGTCATCACACATGCCCCCGCCAAGAATCCTAGACATATTGGACACTTATCATCTGCTGAACTATCACCATCAATCAATTTGTGGATCTTCACCGCAACTTCAATTTCTTTCAAAACATCTGCTTCTTGGCTCCCAATTTGTTCAATAATACCTGGATAAGACCTTAACCGGCTAAGAATATCCAAACTGTCATTAATCCTTACTAACTTGTCCTTGTCCTTGTTTGAGATATTATTATGATAATCCATCATCAAGTCATCCTCATACTCAATTCCTTGCATTAATTCAACATTGTCAAGATTTTTCATCTCTTGTTTTTCAAATTCAACGTCTCTATATTCGCAGTTATTGTATTCTTCTTCTTCTTCTTCTTCTTCTTCTTCTTCTTCTTCTTCAGGAAAAGAAGAAGATCTTATGATGTTCTCCAGATCGGTGATGTTAACAAATCTCTGCACACAAACATCTACAACGATGACGATCTTGTGCTTTCTCTTGGAATCGGACGAGTTGTTCATATGAGTGAAATGAAAATCACTAACAAGTTTCCTAACCAAAGCTTCTGATAGAACACGAGCATTAATACCATTGGAGGAAGCTAGTGTATACATTATGAACCAATCAAACATTGATTTTAAGCAGTCTCGACACAATAAAGAATGGAGATTGAATTTGAAAACATGAAAGTTTTCGACCAGTCTACTATCAATATATACACGGATCATGAACACTCCTTCGGATTCCAAAACCTTGTTTACGGAAAAGTAGTCCTCCTCCTTTTCCTCCCACTTGAACACACGAACCCGTGCGGCATGAATCCTTTCAACCACATCCACCATCTCCATCTCTCTGACTTCTTGCACAAGATGATTTGAAGGACTTCTATAAATAATAATAGAAAGCTTGATTTTGAGACAACTTATTTAGTCCCACTGCCAAACTACTACTAATTGGTACCTATTTAGGAAATATAACCTCTCTTTCCTTATTTGACTCTATTTGAACCCTAAAAGTCATTGCATGGGTTGGGTTTATTTTTTTATTCCTAACCAGGCCTTGGCCCAACCCACTTTACAACTTTCTTGTCCTGATTTATCCACAATGAAGTACTCATTCAATGATGACAGGGCGGCGCCAAAATTTCATTTGAGGGTGCAGTTTTCTTGATTTTTATATAAGTAAATAAATAACATGATAAATATAAATTATTTAAATTAAAAGGCACAAAAAATAATTATTACAAAATATAAGAAAGATTAATATTTTACAAATATAAAAATTAAAAGTATTAATTGGTAATATTTTCATTGAAGAAAATTATAATTGTTCTCGATAGATTTTTGTATTTTGAAAACAATGCTTAAAATTATACACATTGAGTTTATAAAATTACAATAATAAATTAAATAAAAAGAATACGATGAGAAAAATAAAATGTTATTGTACATACTACAAAAAAGAAATACACACATTGAGTTTATAAAATTATAGTAATAAAAAAAAAAAAGAGAGAGAGAGAGAGAGAGAGAAATAAAAAGATTTTTTTTTTTTTTACATACATTGATTCTCAATCTTTGCTGCAATCTTATTTGTATTTCTTTATTTACTAAAGTTACACTATATATATTCAACTTTATTTATACTCATTGTAAACATTTTAGTCCAAAAACTTCATCTATCACTCCCTCGTACTCTGTTCACAAAAAATACAAACACCAAAGCTTCTCAATTTTTTTTTACCTCAGATCAAAATCCTTTCATTCGTTCGGATATTTTTTTTTTTTTAAATGACGTTGATCCGGACCGGAATCATTCAATACAACGGTATGAACACGATATTAAGGTAAATCCCATTGTTGAGACTCGATAATTTGATTATCTTGGGCCAAGTGTAACTTAATAATTTAATTAAATTTATAAGATAATACATTTAAAAAATTCTCTTAGGTCCTACTTATTACATAAATTAATAATTTGATAAGAAATACATATAGGACTGAAAGTACAAAGAATTTTCCCCTTTTACAGAGAGAGAATTTCTTCACTCCCAATACTTTCTAACCCCTTTTCCCTCTCGATTTCCCTTATTTATAGACGGTTACAACCTCCTCTGGCTTGGGCCTTATTTGTTCCCCTTTGCCTGGACTCAACTTCCCTCATTTTAACATGGGCTTCTGTAATGACTTTATGGACCTGGGCCCATCTCGCGCGAACTTGCTCCATCCTGTTTGTCCATACCCGACCCGTCTTCTGCAATGCGGATCACACCAAGCCGGGGTCATTTTGGTGTCCTCATCTGCCCCCAATAATCTCTTTCCTCATTAATGAGGGTGAGATTATTGAAAAGACACGATCTTGGTCTGACGGCTCGGAGCAGTGACACGAGGAATCGAACGGCTGGCACAAAAACCCAAACTTCGAGATCTGCAGTGCCACTTTTTGCCTTAACCTTTTGAGTTCCATGTCGCCTTTACTTTTTCTCTTTATAAGTTCCGGTCTTTCAACCTTCACCGTTCCTCTTACCTCTCGCTTCTACTCTCTGCTGCTTTCCTGCACATTCCGGCGATCCTTTTCAATTTCTCCGGCAAGTCCTTCCTTTTTAATTTTTAGCTACTGTACCGTTACTGAGTTCATCACAAACTTTCAAGGTCAGTTTTTTTTTTTTTAATCTCTCCTTAAAAGACGCCTTTACTGCCTAGGACTCTTCCCCTTATCTATGGCTCCCCCCAACCTGAACGCCATTCGATCCAAGAATTACATTCCTCGCGACGTTTCTCTCAGAGTCTATCCAATAAACTTAGACGAGAGATCTGGTGAGGGTTTTCTTCCTGGGGAAGTTTTATTCTCCGCCGTTCACTTGAACGTCATTAGGTTCTCCCTACACCCGTTCTTTTGTTATGCTTTCAACAAATTGGGGCTCTGCCCCCCTACAAGTTAACCCAAACTTTCTTAGGGTAATTTCAGTCCTCCTGCTCTTGAATCGTGATAGGGGTCTCAATCTTGACATTATTGACATTTTCCTCTACTATCGGATTAATAAGATTTCACAAAATGACTTGTACTATCACTTCTTCCCTATTGACAAACGGTCGATCTACACTGATAAGAACTCATTTGAAAAAGGTTGGAGACGAAATTTAATCGTGGTTGGTGGGAATTGGCAGACTCCGCTCGGCCAATCCTTCTCTATCCATTCTTCCTTTGGAGCATGTTCTGTCTCTGGCTACAAAAAGCTGAAAACACATCCTACTGAATGCCACTGTGAAAGTTGTCTTCCCCGTTTTTGCACTTTTCTTTGTAGATGCCTTCAAATCCCCCATGATGAACTAGTTTATAGCGTCTGCAGGGCTAGGCTAGACACCTTGCAAGAAAGTGTGCTGAACAATATCCCTGCAGCTACTGATTTGCTTACATCTGATAATCTCTCTGACATCTCTCTTTTAAGGTCTACAATGGAGAACATTCAGATCCCATCGTTCAGCAGGAGGAGGCGTCCTGCTCCCACCCCTTCTAACGCTCCTGCTATCACATCATCATCATCTACACCTACTTCCACATCGTCTTTCCTTGCTGTCTCTGCCCCAGAGCAAGTTGCGATTGCTCCAGCTGTGATTCAAGTCTCAAACCGTTCTGCTGATGCGCCCTCTGAGCTCACCCATGCAGAGAACCCTATTGTGGGCCATACTGCTGAAATCCGTCCTGCTGCTCCCGTCATTATGCCTTCAAACATCTCGTCCGATACTTCCTCAGAGAGCACTCAGGATGCTGGGAATTCTGAAGACAATGGAGGGCCAGCTAATGCTCGTCTGTCAGAAAAGATTTTAGGAAAAAGGCCAATGCCTGAGGGCGGTCATGATCAGAGTGATATCCCACCGACCCGAAGGATCAGGACGGCTTCCTTCAGGGTTACTGAACCATTGCCCCCTGCCCGGTTCTTCATTCCTGAAGGCGAATCGGCCAGAACCTCTGGTCCGATTCCATCCGTTCTTCCATGGTGACCTTTACTCAGCCGTGAAGATGGATCAACCATTGGCCCCACTGACTCAATATATAAGAACCCCCTCACCTCCTTTGCTTTCTACAAGGGTTTCTGGACCCCCAAAGACCTTGAAATCCAGAACAAGCTATCCTTTGGTGAGATGTTCCAACGGTTCCCAACCGCTGCTATGAAGGTGACTCTTCTTTTCACTGAAATGTGTTTCTTTTCTGTTATGACTCCTTAGTAGCTAGTCTGACCTGAATTTCTTTTTCTTCATGCAGACTTTATTCGGGGATGTTCACTTTTTAAAAAACCATTGAAACTCTGAACAAAAAGCTTAAATCCCTCTCTGTGGGCCTTAAAAGGTCTGTTGAAGCAGAGAATCTTCTTGAGGCTAAAGTTGCTGAGCTGGAGTCTAAGCTAAGCGAGTCAGAGAAGGGAGTTGCTGACTTAAAGGCAGAGAGAGACGGTCTGGCAAACGAGAGGGATTCCCTCAGAGTTGAACGGGATTCCCTGAGGACCGAATGGGATTCTCTTCATGATGAGGTTGATATCTTGAAAACTGAGAAGAGTGTGGCTCTGACAGAAAGGGACTCTCTCAAAGCTGAAAAGGGAGACCTTCAGGGCTCATTCATTGCTGAACGGTTGTCTCATGCGAACTCTCAGGAAAAGCTCTTAAACGAACGATCTTCCTTGATGAACATGATTGGTAAAGTCGAAGGGGGTATGAAAGCTCTCTTTGCTCGCTTTACCAGGACCAGTGCCATCCGGTATGCTGAAGGGTACAGAGACGGTTTTATTGACCGTTCTCCCCCTGAAGGTGAATCAAGCTTTTGTGCTGGTCCAGATGAATTAGATGCTTCTATGGACATCCACCCCCCAAATAATTATCAAAACCCACCCTGCGACCCGGCTGAGTATATTTTTATTGAGTGTATAGAGGTCGCATCCTCAGGAATTGTCCCACCCTTTCATCCCCTGAACATTCTTCCCCTTTCTACTATTGTGCCCTCTTCCTCAGTTACTGCTGACAGACCTATGCCTACCGAGGGAGTGATTCATCTTGACTCCCCTTCTAAGGATGATAGGGCAGATGAGAATGGAGAAGAACTCAATGGTCCAGAGGATGATGGTGGCGAAAATGACAGGTTACAGCCTGGAGAAAATCATCAAAACTGACACCCAGTAGCAGTTTTTTTTTTTTCTTTTTTTTTAAAAAAAAAAAAAAAATCTTCATGTATCGTGCTATGTACCTTGGGGCATTTTTGGTAATGAATGATAATGCTTTTGCTCAACACCACTTCCCTCCTTTCCAGCTTTGCAGTGTATTTTCACAAGTGCTTAACGTTCGGCTTTTGTCACCATTCTGTCCTTTTCTTACTTATTTTTGAGCAAGTGTTTGGCGTTCGGCTTTAAGTGCCAGCTGCCACTAACTTTGCTGAATGCCTGGCGCTCGGCTTGAACGCCTCTTGCCACTTGGCTTTATTTTTGAGCAAGTGTTTGGCGTTCGGCTTTAAGTGCCAGCTGCCACTGACTTTGCTGAATGTCTGGCGCTCGGCTTGAACGCCTCTTGCCACTTGGCTTTATTTTTGAGTAAGTGTTTGGCGTTTGGCTTTAGCCAGCTGCCACTGACTTTGCTGAATGCCTGGCGCTCGGCTTGAACGCCTCTTGCCACTTGGCTTTATTTTTGAGCAAGTGTTTGGCGTTCGGCTTTAGCCAGCTGCCACTAACTTTGCTGAATGCCTGGCGCTCGGCTTGAACGCCTCTTGCCACTTGGCTTTATTTTTGAGCAAATGTTTGGCGTTCGGCTTTAAGTGCCAGCTGCCACTAACTTTGCTGAATGCCTGGCGCTCGGCTTGAACGCCTCTTGCCACTTGACTTTATTTTTTAGCAACTGTTTGGCGTTCGGCTTTAGCCAGCTGCCACTAACTTTGCTGAATGGGAAAAGTGTCAATTAAATTTTTAACAAAGAAGAGACTTTTTATAAAGCTTGGAAATTTCGTACACTTACAAGCATGCAATTTAGAGAGTGCATATTGCTTAAAATTAAACTTTACTTTTACTGGTAGTACCTTTTCAGAGACGTAGCATTCCATGGCTTATTGACCATCCTTCCTGTCATAGTTTCTAGGACGTATGCCCTCTTCCCTATAACCTCTGCTATTCTGTATAGACCTTCCCATGGGGAGAACATCTTTTTGACTATTCTCACCTTCCTTTTCAGAACCAGATTGCTAAGAGCGAAATCCCTGTGCCTCACCTTCTTGTTATGGCTATTCACAAGCGTCTGTTGATAAGAGACAAGCCTCACTGCAGCCGCATCCCTTTTTTCCTCCAGCAAATCAAGATTAAACCTCAGCATTCTATCATTCTGCTCTTGATCCCACGCCAAGCTCCTTACAGTTAGAACCAAGTGCTCGACTGGTATCACCGCCTCGGTGCCATAGGCCATAGCGAATGGGCTCTTTCCAGTTGGCCGTCTTGGGGTTGTTTTGTAAGCCCACAAGACATTTGGAAGCTCATCTAACCATTTGCCTTTTTCATTCTCCAGCTTTTTCTTAATACAAGCAAATATTGTCCTGTTTGTGATTTCGGCTTGACCATTAGCCTGGGGATGACTGACTGCTGCTAACATCTGGTTGATTCCATATTCTTCCAGCAGCTCTTTCACTTACTTGCTATTGAGGTTGGTTCCATTGTCCATCACGATTGACCTTGGTACGCCAAAACGACAGATAATATTATTCCAGATGAAGCGTCTTACTTGAGTTTGGGTGACACTAGGGTACGGCTCTGCTTCTACCCATTTGGTGAAGTAATCAATTGCTAGCAGAACGTACTTATTCTGCGATCTTGCAGTCGGCAAAGGGCCAACCATGTCCATCCCCCACTGCGCGAAAGGCCATGGGGTGGCCATTACGTGCAGGTCTTCAGGTGGTTGATGTATCAATGACCCAAACCTCTGGCATTTATCGCATCTTCTAGAGAATTCTTCTGCATCTCGTGCCATGTTTGGCCAGAAGTACCCCTGTGTCATTGCTTTGGTGCTAAAAATCTTCCTCCCGAATGATTTCCGCATACTCCTTCGTGAATGGTTCGCATAATCTGTCTAGCTTCTGCTGGGGTAGCACACTTCAAATATGGACCCGAGAAGGAGCGTCTATACAACTGATCACGCACAATGGCATACTTTGCCGCGTTGGACCTAATTTTTCTTGCCTCGTCCTTACGCTCGGGGAGTGCACCATTACGTATGAAAGCCATGATTGGATTAATCCAGCTCGGCTCATATGGTATAACATTAACATGTTGAGTGGTCGGATTAGGCAGCTCTTCAAAAATGGAAGGTTGGATCAGTATGTCGACCGGGATAACCCTAGCTAAAGTATCTCCAGAACTGGATGCATTACAAGCCAAGCGGTCGGCATCTTCGTTATACTCTCTCGGCAATTGGATAAACCTAATCTGATCAAAGCCTTTCGCCTCACGCAGAACCGCAGTTCGGTATGCTTCCATGGTCTTATCCTTGGCCCCATAGTCCCCATTGACTTGTCGAATGACTAGTTGTGAATCACTATAAGCAATTAGATTCTTGATCTTCAGTTCTTTAGCCAACTTCAGCCCAGCTATCAACGCCTCGTATTCTGCCTCATTGTTGGTTGCATTGAACTCTAGTCTTATCGCTTGGCTCAGTGTAGTTCCTTCTGGTGTTCACAATTGAATTCCAATCCCGGCCCCCATTTGGTTCGAGGAGCCGTCCACGAAGAGCTAACACCAGGAATAATTATAATCCTCCACCACATCTTCAGCATCACATTCAAGTAGGAAATCCGCCACCACTTGACCTTTGATTGCCGTCCTGGGCTCGTATACAATATCAAATGAACTCAATTCAATGGCCCACTTGGTCATTCTCCCCGATAGGTCCGGTTTATGCAAGATCATTTTCAAAGGGAAAGTTGTTAAAATGACGATTGGATGAGATTCAAAGTAATGTCTAAGCTTCCTTTTTGCGTTGACCAGCGACAAGATCATTCGTTCGGCCCTATAGTACTTTCTTTCCTGTTCAGACATTGTTTTGCTAACATAAAACACCGGGAATTGCTTGCCCTCTTTGCAACGGATTAGAACGGCACTAGTTGCTATACTGGATACCCCAAGATACAGAAAGAGTTTCTCATTCGGCTCTGGAGCAGACAGAACCGGAGGATTACGCATGTACTCCTTCAGGTTGGTTAGCGCCTGTCATTGCTCATCCCCCCAGGTTTGCCTTCCGTGCCCTTGAATTGTATCAAAGAAAGGTTTACAGCGGTCCGAAAGCTTGGAAATAAATTGGCTCAATGCAGCTATCCGACCTGTGAGTGCTTGCACCTCCTTAATTGTCTTTGGCTCTGCATTTCTGATCAAGGTTTCTGCCTGTGCTGGATTGGCCTCAATTCCTCTATGATTGACCACATGTCCCAGAATTTGACCGGAGCTTACGCCGAATGAGCATTTGGCCGGATTAAGCTTCATCCCATACTGGCGCAACACACCGAACACATCTTGCAGGTGCGCTAAATGATCGCTCTTCTTCTTACTCTTAACCACCATATCATCAATATAAGCCTCGACAGTGCTTCCCATTTGGCCCTTAAAAATCTTGCTGATCAGCCTCTGATAAGTAGCTCCAGCGTTTTTTAATCCGAACGGCATGACTTTGTAGCAATAAGTCCCTCGTTCAATAACAAACGAGGTTTTCTCTTCATCAACTGGATCCATGGGAATTTGATTATAACCGGAATAAGCATCCAGGAAGGTTAACCGCTCATATCCTGTGGTGGCATCTACCATTTGATTAATCCTGGGCAATGGGAAACTATCCTTTGGGCAGGCTTTATTCAGATTAGTGAAGTCGATACACACTCTCCATTTCCCATTCTTCTTCTGCACTACAACAACGTTAGAGAGCCAGGCTGGGTACTGAACTTCTCTGATGAATTCGGCTTCAAACAGCCGATCAACCTCCTCAGCTATAATCTTATTTCGTTCTGGAGCAAATCTTCTCTGCTTCTACTTCACTGGCTTTGCATTCGGATCCACATTGAGGGAATGGTAGGATACAACAGGATTTATCCCTGGCATATCTGAATGGCTCCATGCGAATACATCCGCATTTCGAGTTAAGAAATCAGTCAACTCTAGTTTCTCTTCTTTAGTGAGTCTGGTTCCCACCCTTGTTGTTCGGTCTGGTTTCTCATGGTCAATCTTCACTTCATGAAGGGGTTCTGTGATCAGAACTGGTGGCTCCTCCTCCCCATCCCTGCTGGGAGGAGGGTTCTATAATTGCTATTTTGGATTGGCAGAATGGATGAGATTTTTTCCTTTTCCAGCAGATTTCAAAGTTACTGAATAACATTCTTTAGCCGCAACCTGGTTCCCGTGTATGTCTATCACCTTGGTCCTATCCGGACCCAAACATCGCATCACTTGATGCAAGGTTGATGGGACGCCCTGAACTCTGTGAATCCATCCTTTGCCCATCAAGAGGTTGTAGGATGGATGAATTTCCACGACCACAAAACTTTCAGTCAAAACTCGCTCAGCAGCTTGTACTGTCAATTCTACCATTCCAATGGGTTCCACTCGCTTCCCATCAAGTCCAAGCAACGGATTTCCTGTGGGTTTGAGTTTTTTGGGTTCGATCTCCAGTCGGTTGAACGTCACCCTGGGCATGACATTCGCACTACTTCCTGGATCAATCAGGACTCTCCGAACCAGGTATTCTGCAACCGTCAGACTGATGACTAGTGGATCTTCATGAGGAATCTGAACGCGTAGCAGGTCCGTTTTATCAAACTTCATCGATGTGGACGCGTTCTGCTGGTGCAAAACATGCACACCGCCAATTCTTCTTTTCAGCTGGGCCTGGCGTAACCTCGTTCTGAGCAACTCTTCTGACTCCGTCGTTTGTTCAGGCCGGCCATGAATTGCATTTATAATCCGGACAGGCTGAGAGTTATGTTGGTTCGGCCTCTAGTTCCGCTTGATTTGCTCAGTCAGGCGGTTCTGCTCTTGCGCCGGACCTTGAACATAGCTTGCAAATTCCCCCTTTGCGATTAACATCTCTACCTGCCTCCTTAGGTTCCTGCATTCGTTAGTCTGATGTCCAAAATCACTATGGAAAGCACAATGTTTAGTCTGATCCCTCTGTTCAAGAGGTTGCCTGATTGGCAGAGGAGGACGAAACTTATCTTTGTTTTCTTGGTATAGCCTTGCTAAGGTGACTCTAAGTGGAGTGACTGATTCCTCCTCCCTGGGCCTTTTCTCAGCCTTCCATGAGGGGTGACGTTGCGGTTGGGCTTGTTTTTGCCCGATCTTGGCTTTGGACTTCTCCTCCGTCGAAATAATTAACGTCTTCCTCGAATTAGCTGCTTCTTCCTCCTCAAGACGAATGAAACCGTCAGCTCTCTCGTTCAGCTCGTCCATTGTCTTTGGCGTATTAACCACCAAGCTGGTGTGGAACGGCGTCCCCCGGTTCATTGCGAGTTTAAATGCTTGGACTGCAGTGGACGGGTGACACTCCATTACCATGCTTTTAACGAGGTTGAACCGTGTAAGAAAAGCTTGGAGTCGTTCATCCTCATGCTGCTTCATTGTGAAAAGGCTTGATACATCCTTAGCCGGACGTTTATTCCCGTAGTACTGGCTTATGAACTTATCGCATAAGTCCTGGAAACTGGCGATTGAGCCCTGAGCCATATTTTTGAACCAATTGAGAGCTGGTCCAGCCAAGCTCGTAGGGAAACATTTGCATATCAAAGGATCATTATTAGTATTCAAAGCCATTTTCAACTGAATATGGTATATGTGATCGACCGGATCGGTTGTTCCATCAAACAGAATGAAAACCGGCATGGAAAACTTCTTCGAATTCGGCGCGTTCATAATTTCATCAGTGAACGGAGACGCGACCGTCCTTGCTGATGAACGCAATGCTTCGTTTTCCCTTGAAAACCACGACGGAAATCCACGATCGGCAGATCTCCTTTCTGAGCTATGGTAATCAACTGTTGCTAATGAAGGTCGGTATGGCGGATCGAACGACCTGTCCTCCGCAAACTTACTCCGCCACGGTGACGCAATCCTATGTTCATATGCCGGTGCTTTCTCCCTCATAATCCGTTCGTGATGCGGTTCCAGATGAACAGATCCTTCTCGATCCTCTACTCGATGGACATTCGGAGGCAGATTACCGATTATAACTTCATCACGACGTGGACCAACACAATTGACATCTTCTGGATCACCTTGACGATCAACTTGGGACGGTAAAGCTCCCTCTCCTTCAGGAGGTGGCCTCGGAATTGCAGGAGCCTCACGACGCTCCATTCCAGCTCGTAGCTCTGCATTTTCTTTCCTCAAAGCATCGATCATGTTCATCAGCTCATCGAGCTTCGTCTGCTAGCCGTTCTCCAAAGGATTCGAGTTCGCCTCTCTGATCATCATTCCAGATCAGAGCAAAGTCATCAACTGCAGACTTCTTGACCAAATCGGAGTTCCGCTAACGCGCGCACACCAGATCTGAACTTACACTTGCTGAATTCAGTCCGCTACTGGCCGGATTCAGTAATCACAACAGATTGCAATTGCGCAGTTCGCCGGATCAAGCACGGATCTGATCTGTTTGGATTGGACGCTAATTTTTCGAAATCAACCGGAGCCTGGACTCGTCAAGACAAATCGTATTATCACCAATATCGATTCAGCTTTCGCAGATTAATCGTCTTCCTCGCAGAGTGCGTTGAATCGATCCGATCTGGAATAACATCAATCAATCCTTCCTGTTCTTCCCACAGACGGCGCCAATTGAAAGTACAAAGAATTTCCCCCTTTTACAGAGAGAGAATTTCTTCACTCCTAATACTTTCTAACCCCTTTTCCCTATCGATTTCCCTTATTTATAGACGGTTACAACCTCCTTTGGCTTGGGCCTTATCTGCTCCCCTTTGCCTGGACTCAACTTCCCTCATTTTAACATGGGCTTCTGTAATGACTTTATAGACTTGGGCCTATCTCGCGCGAACTTGCTCCATCCCGTTTGTCCACACCCGACCCATCCTCTGCAATGCGGATCACACCAAGCGGGGGTCATTTTGGTGTCCTCAAGGATAGACAATGATATTTTCTTGGGCGAAGGTACTAGCTTATGAACACCATACCAAGGTAAATCTAGTGCTGCTTATGAACACCATACCAAGGTAAACCCCATTGTGGAGACTCGATAATTTGATCATCTTGGGCCAAGGTACTAGCTTAATAATTTTGTTAAATTTATAACATAATACATTTCAGAAATTTACTTATAGGTATCTATAGGTCCTACTTATTACATAAATTAATAATTTGATATAAAGTACATATAGGACTATCTATAATATTTTCTTGAAATATGATTTTAGTGGTGCTTCTATTTATTTTTTTTATTTATTATTTTTTTTTCTTGAAATTTTAGTTGAATCTCATGTCTAATTTTTTGTAACGGGTTAAAATATACAATAATTTAAGTCTAGCTTGTGTTTGATTCAATCCATTGCATGCACTTGATTAAATAAGTAAAATATATTGAATTTTATTTTATTAAATAGTACAGTAAATACAAGATATTTAATTTTTGATTGATTAAATGTATTTTTAATAGACTAAATGAGTACAATACATTAAATCTTAATAGATTAAATGAGTACAATGCATTGCATTTTTAAAACTATTAAAAAAATAAATATATTAAAATAAAAATAATATACACAAAATATCTTAAAGATAAATTTATGCAAATTTAGTTTGAATATGCCATCAAATTAAATTAGTATGAATTTGTATCATAATTTATTTCAATAAAAAAATATATTTAATGTAATTAATAGAAAATGAAATTATAATAGTAATTTAATGGAATATAATTTAGTTATTAGAGCATTATGCAATAAATGTGATAGTCGACGAGTATTACACACAAATACGCAATATATACTTCAATGGTCTTTTGAAAATTTGAACATTGTTTTATTTATTTATTTATTTATTTATTTTTGGCTCTTTACCTATGTTGTCCTTGTACAGAAAGGATTACCTACGTGAATTTCCGAAAAAAATAAAAATAAAGAAGAGGAATACCTACGTGGAATCAAACATTGCGTTACTTTGACGTAATAATAATACGATTGTTGTGTATATGT